AGAGCCCAAGAAAACTACGGAAGGGGTGGGGGAGTCCCTTCCTGCTGCTTGTAAAAACGATCCAGTGGCTAATTAGCGGCTAGGATTGTTTTCACATGAAAGCTGACCGCCAGCTGAAAAAAATGATACCAGGATGATGCCTGTAGTTGCAGGCATCATCCCGGTATAATTACTCAGTCCATTGACGTACAAGTACGTTGCTGGTCCATGTTGGGCATATATGTAACAGCAGAGAACACGGGCATATGATGAATCAGGTCTGTGGACCAATATGACCGCAATTCATTCTTTTTTGTAACGCCCATGTTGAGGGTTTGTGCCAAAAAAGTTTAAAATTCATAAACTGATAGGTTTCGATGCAAATTGTCTGGCAAGAGCAGAATTTGGGTGGGCAGCGATGTATTGTTGTGCATATAAATTGCTTTGACCCACAATCAACTGATACAAATATTCCATGAAGAACAGCGGAGGGGCTGAACGCTAGTGCTGACAGTGAACAGGGCTGATCCTGTGAACACTGCATTTTTGAGGACACTATACAAAGGAGGCACTAGTATAGTTCAATTTGTGATCAATATATTGATCCGTACAAACAGTATACTAGTAATGGCGGTGATCAGCCTATAGTATAAGTGCGATAATTTGCGGGCAATCTAACGCTGGCTGACCCTGGCTGGGAGGGGCGCTAACTGACCCTGATGTCACTAGTGGCAATAACACAATGATCAGTGAAAATTCTTTATACTGACCTTGTACTAATGGCACTGGCTGGGTGAGGGGCTGATCAAAGGGTTAATAGGGGCAATCAAATTTCTTTTTTTTTTTTTATATGTCATGATCCCGATTTACCGGGATTCTCATTCGGACACAGCAGATGTGGGGGGAGGTGTAGGGTAAAAGACCCAGTGACTTATGACTACGTCGATGGTCCTGTAGCTGCCGCCCGTCTGCAGTACATTGCGGGCGGGCAGCCCGAATGTGGTTAAGGGTGTGTAAGGGCAGACAGGGTCATGTTACAGGCGTGCCAAAGTAAGTTTTGTCAAGGCAGGTAATTTATTTATTTTTTTTATTGCTGAAGTCACTTTTGGGGTTTATTTACTAAGGCTGGAGAGTGCAGAATCAAGTTTCTGAAAACCGCATCTTGCCTCAGTGTTTTTCTCAGTTGCCTCTAGCCTTCATGCAAGGAGTGTGCTGGCTCTTGGGAGAAGTAACGCAAATATAATACGTTTTTGATGGTTAGATGTCAGTTTGGAGGGGTGGGCATTCCTAGGCATACTGCCTTTTCACTGCAATAAATAATACCTATGTGTTTGAGCTGAGCCTCTATGATAGAAAGAACTGACATCTGATGAATGAATGGAGTAGGCCAGGAACAGTAAGGCTAGGGAGGAAAGAACTAGATGTCCTCCAGCCAGTACACAGCAGGCTCAATTTTTGGAGCGTCTACTGCACACTGTGTAAAGGTCAGTGTGTAACTCTAGTACAGAAGAGCCTGTACAACTGAGCAAGGCTGAATGAAAAATCGGAGTTCAGCTTTTAATTAACATGCACTTGTTAGTGTTTTGTAAAGCAGAAAAAGTCCTTTGTTAAAATAAAATTCTAGAATTCTAACTTAACCCCAACTATGCTTAAAACAGTCCCATCTGCCCCAGCAAGCCCCACCCCCTTACCCCGCTACTTATCTTACCTAAACCTTTATTAGAAAAAAGGTGGGCATACTTTTTTTTTTTTTTTTTTTTTTTTTTTTTTTTTTTTTAGTTGGCACTTTTTTTAGTTGGTGTGGTCATGCAACCCATGCCTCTTGGGACCAGTCTGAGGAAGGAGCCTTGCATGTAGCCCATTAGGACCTGATCATCTCTGGCTTTGTAATCATAGTGTTATGTATTGAGAAAAGCAGCAAGTACATAGGGGTTTCATGTGGTGAGACGAGAATTACCATAGGTCATACTTAAAGTGGTTCTAAAGGCTAAAGTTTTATTTTACCTTTATTCATTCTATGCATGAAGATAAAAAAAAAACCCTTCAGTGTGCAGCCCTCCCATATTCACCTGATCCAGTGATGTGCATGGGGCAAAAGCTGTCCTTGGCCTTTCTGTCCTTGTTGGCTGAGACAGTCAATCACAGCCAGTGAGGAAAGTGTGTGTGTGTGTGTGGGGTAGGGGGGGGGGTGCCTTGGGAGCAGCGTGCTCTGGGGGCATTCAGCAGGGGGGGGGGGGGAGAAAGGGCTAGGAGTGCCAGCGGGGACCCAAGAAGAGAGGTGATTGGGGCTGCTCTGTTCAAACCCCTTGCACAGAGCAGGTATTTGTTGTTTAAAGTTAGTGTAAAGGTTCAGATAATTTTTTTTTTTTTTAAAGTGACTAAACTGTGGTTTAAAAGGGAAAACAAAGTATGTATTAACTAAAAAAAAACAAAACCTATGAAGTCACTTACCCTCTTGTTTCCGAGATTGTCTAGGAGCTATTGTTGACCATGGGATGTGTAGTGTGCTTAGAATGTGCACCACTCGTTCCAAATAAAGGAAAAGGGGAGGGGGGGGGTGGCTAGGAGAGGTTGGGGCGGCTAGGAGAGGTTCGGAAGCTCACAAGGAGGTAGATGAGCACAAAAAAAAAACAGAGCCATTAAGTCTTAGGTGTGTATGGAATATTTATGGAGAACATGGATATTGTTTAGTGTCACTTTATAGAAAAGGCCTGTGTATCTGGAGAGGTGACTTTGTTACAAATTGTTTTTTTAAAGAAATTCCTTGTTGATGGTTACACATTACTGTACTGTGTAAATCTCCCTTAAAGCTAGTTGTTATAAGATTCAAATTTTGGAGAATTCTGGTGAAAAAATATGGACAACAATTGCTAACAAGCTTTAAGCGCTTTCGTATCTGGTCACTTTGCCAGTGTTTGGTCTCATACTTTTTTTTTCTTTTAAATCGATTTTTAAAATTCATGTGTTTCCTGTAAAGCATCGAAAACAAATTGTTCAGTAAACTGATAAAATGTAGCAAGTTAGTTGACAAAATAACTTTCCCCTATCAGGTCAATTTTTATTTAGGCAAAGGTTTGTTTAAAGACGGCCAACAACTAATGAGAATTTGAATATCCACGCCTAATTTTTATAATTGTTCAGGGATTACTTGAATGTTCATTTTCTTTGGATTACTTCACTTTCAGAGCAGATGTATCAAGCCATAACACAATCCTATCTCTTGCCCAAGCTACGTGCCCAGGGCCATCATTAACACCGGGCACAAGGGGCAGCTGCCTTGGGCCTAGTCATTGTTGTGGGGCCAAAGCAGCTTCTCCTTGAGTCCACGTTGCCTGCAAATAATTTTCCCAGCTTTTTTATTGCCAGCGTGCAACACTCTGCAATGTGCGGACACACAACACATGTAGTCTCCACCCTGGGAGTCTACACTGTCCTACCCATTCAGCAGCAGCCCGATGGTAGATGGATTGCGCAAAGGGCCAGTGAAAAGTGGTGGCCTGTCTCAGATAGCAGGGTGACCACAGTCAGTGCTTGTGGAGCAAATGGCGGAGCTCTGGAGAGCTGCTGTGCCTGGCCAGGGCTGCGCTTACTTTTGTGGGTTGAGCTGGCGGTGGGGAAGGAAGGTGGAGGAGAACAGCGTTGCTGACTGTCTCTGGACACCCAACAGCGAGATGCACCTGGAGGACAAACTTTGTGTTTCACTTGTCCTGTATGACTTCTTTATTCCCGACCGGGTCCTTCTACTGCAGGCAGCATGACTAGTTAATTACTCCTGGCAGCCCATCTTTGGGAATGCTGCTCACATTGGGCTCTGTTCCTGCCTTCATGCAGTTAACCTTCATAGCTGTGTGTGCTCTGCTCATTGATAACAAGTTCTAGGAGTTTTCTGTCTCTTGGTGGGTCCCTTCACCTCCCCAGTCCATAGTGTGCAGGAATAGAGGAGATAATGTGCTGTAACCTTCAGCAACCAATCAGTGAGCCATAATGATGTGCTATATCCTCTAGCAACCAATAAAAATAGTAGTAATAATACACCATAACCTATACCAACCAATCAGTGAGTGATTTGCTGTAATCCTTTTGCAATCAATCGGTGAGCAGTAATGTGCAGTAACCTCTAGCATCCAATCAGTTAGCACTATCACTGAGTGATGATATGCAGTAACCTATAGCAACCAATCAGTGAGTGGTAATAATGTGAAAAACCATCTAGCAACCAGTCAGCGAGGGATAATGATGTGCTGTAACCTCTAGCAACCAATAAGTAAGTGGTAATGATTCACAGTAACCTATAGCAGTCATCAGTGAGCAGTAATAATCTGCAGTAACCTCTAGCAACCAATGGGTAAGTGGTAATCATCTGCAGTAACCTCTAGCAACCAATCTGTGAACGGTAATAAGCAGTAACCTTTGGCAACCACTCTGTGCGCAGTAGCACCTAGCAACCAATCAGTGAGCAGTAAGCAACTAATCGGTGAACCTGGACCAATCAGTGAGTGTGGACAAGTTGTGTTTTTTTTTTTTGTTTGTTTTGTTTTGTTTTTTTTTTTTTTTTTTTTTTTTTTTTTGGGATATTGAGGTGGAGAGTGAAATTGCATAGGGAGGGCAAGAAAATTTTTGCCCAGGGTCCAATCAATATTAAAGACGGGCCTGTATGTTCCAATACCTAAGTTAAACTGCTATGTAACCTAGATGATATGAGGACTACATGAATGGAAACCAAGTCTTTGAGCAGTAATTAAGGGCTTACTCTCCACTAGATTCTCAGAGTGTCAGTTCTCAGCCCTGAGCTCAAGCATGCTCTGGGTTATCCTCCTTGGGGTTCTTTCATCCTGATGCTGAGATGGCATTTCTGTTCTGTAAGGGAGATAATGTATGTGAATAACATGCACTAGAATGCGGTTGCAGGATTTTTTACCAATGTTTGTTCTTGATGGGTTTTCTTTTCATGTCAAATTGCAGTAGAGATCTTCCACTGAAACATACAGTTGAAAGATGATGATAATTTTGTTTTTCTACAGCATAAATGTAGTCCCCGCTATTCTGAAGAGTTTGTATTACAACTGGAGAAAGAACTGGTTCAAGCAAGACTCAAAGAAGCCGAATCTCACTGTGCTATGAAAGAAATGCAAGACAAAATTTTGGAGATCGAGAAGGTGATTTATTTTTCACAGATTGATAATTTGGTGATCCTGCTTCCTAGTTAAAATTACTCCCCTAAAATTTTAGCTTTAGTTACTTAAGTATAATATGGGGAGAGGAGAGAGCACAGCCAACTGCAAGGTCATGGGAGCTTAAAGCAGGGCTTGACAAATTTGCTATGAATCTAGGAGTCAGCTAAAAAAGTTAGGAGTCACTTTTTTAAATCGTCTGCCCAGCGCCCGGGCAATAGGATTTGCTCACACCTGGTGCCAGGCCTGTACTGGGACAAAAAATAGGCTTGGGCACTTTAGATTGAGCAGCCCGGACTGCATTGCCGTTTCTGCCTCTTACCTCATGACAAAATGAAGCATGAAACGGACCTGGAGCCTACATCTCTGTTCCCTAGACAGCACGTCGAATGAGAGTGTGGGGACGTAAACCATGTAGCCAATCCGCGTTGTATCCATCCTTCGGAATGTTTGTGGTTGGTGGCCCACTTCCTTGCCAGTAAATGGCTGAGCCCTGAAGCCATACTAACTGTAGCTGTTGGTGTCTTTTGGTATGCCTAGGATGGTTCGTGTTTGTTACAGTGTCTGGCTTGTGTGCTGTTTGCCATGTCCATGCACAGAAACGGAAGGAGATCTAAAAGTATTAAGCGCCATGGAATGTGTATGCCATCAATTGGAGTGTGAGGCCAGACAAGAGGTTCCAGTTGTCTGTGGGCAGTTTTGTGGAGGAATATAATAATAAGGTAACCAGGGGCCAAGAGAGAGAAATAAAATTTGAAGTGCAAGTTCATCTTTATAGAAAATCTGCAAGGTGACCTTACACTGGACCCCCCACCCAACCACACTTTCACTGGTCACAATTAGACTGAGTTGCTTGGAAAGTGATGGATATAAATGGACTAGGAAGCCAATGATGGATTGTATATGTTGAAAGGAGAGAAAATAAACATTTCACTCCCATATACTCTGGAGGTTTATGCAGGTCCCGTCAAAGATGCTGCTCTGTATTCTTTAGAGCAGTGCTTTTTGAACCTTTTTCAGTCAAGACACCCTTTAAAATCCTGCACAATCTTGAGGCACCCCATTCTAAAATGTAAAAAACTAAACAAATGGTTTTACATATGGCAACACCATCCACATACGTGGGCCAGCAAATTTATTAGAGGTGATTTATTCCTCCACCTTTGTACACTGGTACTGATTAGTGTTCTTGTGTTTCCCTTATCACTCAGTTTTTCCCTTGCTCAGCTAATGTGACCCCAGTGCTGATGGAAATGGGCAGCAGTGGGGCTGAAATGGATGCTGTGCTGGCGCCCAACGTCCTTATCAACCATGATGTCATTGGTTGTTGGGATGCTTGGGGATAGGCTACACAGTGTCCAAGGTTATAATGCTGCCCAATAAAAACCTGTGGCTTAGTGTACCAAAAAGGCAGCCTTGATCCACTTGCCGACCTGTTTACAATTTTTGGGAAATTTTTGGGAAATTTTTAGGCATTTTACCAAGGCATCCCTGAAAAACTCAATAACGCACCCTGTTTAACCATTTCAATACCTGGGCACTTTTACCCCCTTCCTGCCCAGGCCATTTTTCAGGTTTCAGCACTCTCACACTTTGAATGACAATTGTGCGGTCATACAACATTGTACCCAAAACTAAAATTATCTTTTTCTTCACACAACTAGAGCGTTCTTTTGGTGGTATTTAATCACCACTGGGATTTTTATTAATTTATTTTTATTTTTTGCTAAATTAAAAAAACAAAAAAGACTGAAAATTTTGAAAAAAAAAAAAACATGTTTTTTCTTTGTTTTTGTTATAAAAGTTTGCAAATAAATAATTGTTCTTCATAAATTTAGGCCAAGATGTATTCTGCTACATGTCTTTGGTGAGAACAACCCAAATTAGGATGTATTTTTTTAGTTTATAGGAAAGTTATAGAGTTCACAAACTATGGTATAGATCTGAAAATTGATCAATCCTGAAGTACTGACGGCCAATCTAATTTCTTGAGGTCCAAGAATGTCAGAACAGTACAGATATCCTCCAAATGACCACTTTTTGCAAAGTAGACAGTCCGACGTACTTCATAAGAGGCATGTCGAGTTTATTGAAGTTGTATTTTTTTTTTTTACATAATTTTTTGGAAAATTAAAAAAATTTTCACTTTTTTTTTTTTTTACATATGGTCACCAGTGCAGTACAGTGTCATCATATAACTGGCATGGCGGTAATCAGGGACACTGGCAGTATGAAAAAAAAAATATATATTTTTTTTTTTTTTATTTTTATTACATTTTTTTTTTTTTTTCATATTTCACTATGACCAAAGTAGTAAAATGTTACCATAGTAACATTGTACTATTTGGGGAAGTGATCAGTATTTTTTATTTTTTTTTACACAATTTGCTTATAGCAAAGAATTACTTTGCTATAAAGCAAGCATTTACCTGAATGGCATCGATTCATTCAGGGTTTTTTTTTTTTTTTTTTTTGTGCTTAGCTGTGATTTGGCCACGGCTAATCACATGACACCTCTGGGCTGTGATTAGCCCAGCTTGTGCATGTGATCACAGTGACCATTCACAGCTAGGCACATTAGTATACAATGGATGGCATGAATGAAGCCATCCATTGTATACAACTGTCATGTGACTTGCTGTGATTGGTCACAGCAGGTCACATGGTACTGGCAACGGGACCGGTACTCAGATCTGTCATCTACCGTGTCCGAGGTACACGGCCGGTGACAGATCACGCCGCTGCACGGCTCTGCAGGCGCGCAAACTGCGCATGCCCGGGAGGACGCCATATGGCGTCCACCCGGAACGCTGAGGGATTTTGCCGGCCACCAAACGGCCATTGGCCGGGCAGCAAATGGTTAAAAAGGCTGCTTTAGGATAACTACTGTAAAAATATTACATCTTTTGGAATTCTTCACAGAAAAACAGCTCGTTACCTGATGAGAACAACATTGCAAGGCTTCAAGAGGAGCTCATTGTGGTGAAGTTAAGAGAGGCAGAAGCTGTCACGGCTTTGAAAGAGCAGAAGCAGCAGATAAGGGATCTGGAAGATCACTGGCAGGTATGTACTTTTTGTGAAGATGGATATACTTGTATAGTACTCCATATTTGTAGTTGTCCGGTTATGCATACTGCTGCAAGTCTTGCACAAAATAGCAGCTTCTATCTAGCACTGTTTTATGCATTTATATGAAAAACGCTGTTGACTTTTAAGTTCCTGGTCAATGTAACTCTTGCTATGACTAATAGTCCTCCACATGTATAATGCGAAGTTGACTAACCACTGATTGATCTGTAGGTTTTTTTGCCATGAAAATCCTTCAGTGGGGAGATTGCACCTCTTTGACCTGTGCCACTATTTTCTTTACATCCTTGAAGTCTTAGGATGTGTTATTTATTTAATCCATTCAGTCAAGTATAGAGAAGGCCTTTCATATTGTGGGACCAGAAGTCTGAATACTCCATGAACACTTTTCCCCATTTCGTTAATTGTTTCTAACAAGTTCTTATGTAATCTGGGAGGCTCTGCTGCTGTTATGGATGTTCAAAGTTTAATAACATTCTTTATTGCTTGTGTGTTCAGCATAATCTGATGGACTATAGTTGGTAATGTCATGTGCATGGTTGGATTTATTCCAATGAACTAACAGATATTTCCATATTGGTAGAAAGGCAGCAGTGAAATGACTTGCTGTCCTGAAATTTTCAAATGTAACATAAACTGTATGCAATTATAATTTTAGGGCATCCTACAAAGACACCATCACTTATTGTCTATACAAAGACTACCTGTCCCCCCCACACACACGGGATAAATTTTTCCTCCAGTTACATGGAAATCACGTGACCTCTGATACGTGACCGTGGTTGAGTTCGAATAGCCAATTGCCAGACCAAAACATTGTCATCTGGGTGTGGGGAGGTCTAGTGATTCCCCTGTAGACTCTGGAACTTATACAAGAATGCTGCTAAAGGTAGACAGTGAGGCAGCAAAGGTATCATGCCAGAAGGTATGAGATCTAAATGGGCAATATGTCAGTTTCTCTTCTTTCATCACTTTTCAGAAACTTTTTTTTTTTTTTTGGGGGGGGGATCAGTTTTTGTATGTAAGAAGCAATCGCACCTAACATGTATTGCTTTATTATTGCAGAGACATTTAGCCCGCACTGCAGGTCGATGGAAAGATCCTCCCAAAAAGAACACTATAAATGAGCTGCAGGATGAATTGATGAGCGCACGCCTAAGAGAAGCGGAAAGACAAGCAGATGTACGAGAAATGAAGCAACGAATGATGGAGTTGGACACACAGGTATGGGATCATCTTTCATACTAGCACGTTATGACATTACCCTGCGGAGAGGAACAGGGTTTTTTTTTTTTTTTAAATGTTTACTACTTCTATTTGTTCTGCGCTATAAGGGGATGTCCTGGTTTTTTTTTTTTTGTGGCTTTTTTTTTCTTGTGGCTTTTTTTTTTTTCTTCCCATCTCATTTGCTGTATCTGGGGGAGGAGGGGGGATGCATTTCTATACCTCTATTTTTAGGCAGCTTATCCGTTTGCTTTAGAAAAAGTTAAATGATATTAAATACAGAAAATATATATACAGTGCTCAGCATAAATGCGCACACCCCCAGCAGATTTGTCAGAAAACCTTTATTTTCCTTTTAGAATCAAAATTTTCTAAGGGACACTATACTACAAATAATCCCACATATGTGGGGCATTGATTGCAAACAAGGTTTTGTTAATTTGCACACACAAAGTATTTTCCTAACAAGTTCGTTCAAGACCATGTTGGAAAAATGAATACAGCCAAATGAAAGACTTAAAAACAAAGGTAAATGTTAGACAACAAAATTCTAATTAACAAGAATTCAACTACAGGTGAGTCTAATTGTTAAACAGGTGTCCAGCAGTTGATTATAAAAGAGCATTACTTAACAAAGAAAACTCCTTCCCATTTAATGCTGTCAGCAATGGCACCACATGGAAGAGAAATGTCACAAGGGCCGAGAGAGAAAATAATTTCTTTACAAAAGAAAGGTGAAAGCTACAAAAATAATACTCTGCAGGACAGAAGGGATAAAGAGGAAGAGGCAATTTGGAAGAGCGATGGAGCGAATTGGGAATACAGTTTATAACCTATAATGTGAACGGGCTGAGTTGTCCGGGGAAGAGATTTAAGTTGTTTAAGGAGTTACATCATAGGGCAACGTCAGTGGTATTTTTACAGGAGACGCATTTTGAGATAGAGGCAAATGTGAAATTGAAATCTAAATATTATCCAATATGGTACTATGCAGACTCTCCAATTAAAAGAGCAAAGGTTGCAATAGGTTTGGCAAAGAATATGAGATTTGAGCTAGAGGACAGAAGAAACGATCCGGAGGGGAGATTTTTATTCTTAAAAGGTAAACTTCAGGGGATTGAGTGTACTTTAGCCAATATATACTGCCCTAATAAAAACCCGGAGATGTATATGAAGGGTCTGTTGAAAAAATTAATGGAGTTTAAAAAAGGGCGTTTGATAGTTGCAGGAAATTTAAATTTCTGTATGGACCCACAAAAGGATAATACCTCCTCTGTGCAAAGAGAGGGGAGTAGGTCTCTGAGAGCTTTGAAAAAAGTGATGCATGAATATCAACTAGTGAACATCTGGAGAATAATGCATATGAAAGACAGAGACTATACCTTCTTCTCTAATGCACACGAGATATACTCGAGATTAGATTACATCTTAATAGACCATCAACTTATAGAACATCTGGTTAAAATCGATATAGAGACAAGAACGTTCTCGGATCATGCCCCGGTCGTAATGAAAATGGGATGGGGAAGAAGGTGGACTGGAGGACTAGGGTGGAGGTTAAATGAGGCTCTTCTTCTGGATGAGGACTTAGTTCAGAAAATCGAGGAAGAGATTAAGGTATATTGTAAGGAGAACGAAACAGAGGAAGTATCGATAGCTACAGTCTGGGAAAGTCACAAGGTATTTATAAGAGGAATCTTGATTGCGGCAGGAGCAAGGAAGAAAAAAGAAAGAAGAGAGAGGGTCAGTGGGCTTCTAAAAGAAATACTGGACCTGGAGCAGATCCATAAAAAGAAAATAACAAAAGATACAAGACAGAAGTTAATGGATAAAAAAAGAAGAGCTAGAGAAGTTGATGGATGAGGAGAAGAGAAGAGTATACAACAGGGTTTTAAATGAGAGATATAGATGGGGAGATAGACCAGGAAAATACCTAATGAGAGCTTTGAATAAAAAGAAAAATAGGAACTATATAGAAAAGATAAAAAGTCCTAAGGGGGAGTTGGCCCACTTAACTAAAGAGATTATTAAAGTGTTTACGGAGTATTACAAAAAGCTATATAATATTAATCCCCAAGGTCCTCTAAAAGAAGCTCAAGAGGGAATCAACGAAAAAAAGTTGATATATTTAAAAAAACGCAGGATTACCAAAACTAAGTGAAGCTCAGTTGAACTCCTTGGACGTGGAAATTTCCCAGGAAGAAATTAAAACAGCATTAAGAAGCACAGGGGGGGGGGGGGGGAAGCCCAGGCCCAGGCCCAGGCCCAGGCCCAGGCCCGGATGGCTATACAGTTAAGTACTACAAGAAATTTACTGAAGTGTTGTTACCCAAGCTGGAAAAGTATATGAATGCTCTGGGAGGTGGGATGGAAGTGAGGAGAGAATCTTTACAGGCCCACGTAGTACTTATTCATAAGGAGGGAAAAGACCCATCTCAGTGCTCCAGCTATAGACCTATTTCATTATTGAACACAGATACCAAACTGTATGCAAAGGTTTTAGCAAACAGGTTAAAAGATCTAATGTCTGAATGGATCCATGGAGATCAGGTGGGCTTCGTACCTGGGAGAGAGGGTAGAGATAATGGCTTGAGAACCCTGATGCTTATTCAGAAAAGTAGAAAAGGGAAAGCCCCAGTGGTGCTCTTGTCAATTGATGCAGAGAAGGCATTTGATAGAGTGGACTGGGGCTTTATGATGGACAACTTAAAAGTGTTGGGGATAGGTGATAGAATGCGTGAGTGGATAAGTAAATTATATAGGGAGCCTACTGCAATCATCACGGTAAATGGGGAGAGATCAGAACCCATTGGAATGTCTAATGGAACAAGACAGGGTTGCCCACTGTCCCCTTTACTATATGTGTGTTGTCACTCGAACCTCTGTTGTCAATAATAAGGAACAGTGGAGCGGTAAAGGGAATTCAGATAGAAACTATAGAACATAAAGTGGCGGTCTTTGCGGACGACCTATTGTTCTATGTGGGGAATCCCCGAATAACTCTCCCAAGTATAATGAAGATTCTGAAGGAGTATGGTGAACTATCAAATCTAAAAATTAATCCAACGAAAACAGAGATCTTGAATATTAATATATCAAAAGATGAAAAAGAAAAACTACAAAAATAATTCCCCTTTGTATGGAGAGAAAAAGAGATAAAATACCTAGGAAATAAAACTCACTTCCTCATCTAAGTACTTGTATAGATTAAACTATATTTCTTTGATAAACGAGATCAGGGAAGACTTAAAAAGACTAGAAGGAGGAAACCCATCCTGGATAGGTCGTATAAACCTAGTTAAAATGGTAATTATGCCTAAAATATTGTATAGATTTCAAATGGTACCAATTAAAATTCCAGAGGCCTTCTTTAAGATAATAAAAAAAATGTTAACAAGATACATATGGAAGAATAAAAAACCAAGAATAGCATATGAAACATTGAGTAGGACTAAAGAGAAAGGGGGATTGGGTCTACCAGATGTCAAGAGATATTATAAAGCAGTGGTTTTAGCAAGAATATACGACTGGACATTTAACCATAAGGGGAAAAGTTGGGCAACAATTGAAAATGATCTTAGTGGAATTAGATTGAGTCAGATGATATGGGTTCCAGCACAGTTTAGAGGAATTAAAGAAAGCACAAGTATTTACACTTTAAATGTTTTAAGGGTATGGGACAATTTGCACAAAAACATGAAATGGGAATTTAATTCTATACTAATGCCCCTTACAAACACTGAGTATTTTCCCCCGGGAAAGGATAAGATATCAGGGAGATGGTTTAGAAAGGAGGATACCCAACTGAGAGATGTTCTGGTGGAGGGGGAATTGAGATCACTTAAAGAATTAATAGAGAAGAAGGGAGATATCTTTATTAGAATAGATGAGTGGAAATATCAATTGAAATGTTTTATTGGAAATCTCCCGAAACCCCTGAGATCAAAACAGGAGTGGAATATGTTTGAAAGGCTGTTAGAAACACGAAGGGATGGGAAGCACGGTATTTCAAAAACCTATAGAATACTCACAGAATTAGACACAAACACAAAGTTAAGTTTTATAACAAAATGGGAAAGGGATATGGAAGTTGGGTTTGACGAGGACAAACAGAGAAAGATGTTTAGATTAATACACGAGAATGTTAGTATGAGAGAGGTTGAGATTAATTATAAGTGTATGACACGATGGCACATTACACCGAGTGTTGAGCACAAGATGAATGGGGAAAATTCAAAAATGTGTTGGAGAAGATGTGGAGAGATAGGCACGGTGTTTCACATATGGTGGGAATGTCCGAAAATCCAGGCTTTTTGGAAGGTAATAGTCAAACTGATTGAAGAAATAACTGAAATTGACATAGGGTTAGACCCAACGACGTGCCTCCTACATAATGTGGAGATATCTGTAAATAAATACAAAAACTCAGGCGTCTGGTACTTCTTAAATGCGGTGAAAGGGTTGATACCCAAGTCTTGGCAGAAAACTGAGGTACCGAAGGAGGAAGACTGGATTAGTAGAGTAAACCAGATAAGCAGAATGGAAAGATCATACCATATGCAGGAAGATAGCATGGGAGTTTATTATATGAGATGGGAAAAGTGGGAAAAGGCAGGATTGAAAGAGAAATATAGGAAATTATGAACTAGGATGTTAGCTAAAAATTAATAAGCCTCGATAGATTAGAACGGGTTAGAGTCTGCAGGGGGGGAGGAGGGGTGGGAAGGGCTGGGGGGGGGGATGGGAAAGAAAACATTTTTTTAGAAGGGGAAATGTAGAAATGTTATAAATGTCTATTTATATGTGAATCGGTTCCCTTTTTGGGTTTTTGTATTAATATGAAAAATTTTATAAATATTTAAATAAAAAAAAAAAAAAGAAAAAAAAAAAAAGCTACAAAAAGATCAGCAAAGCTTTACTTATCAGTCAGAATATTGTAGCAAATGTGATACAAAATTTTAACAAAGATGGAACTGCAATCATCTCACAGAGATGTGAAG